TTTATAAAAATAAATATAGATAATAAATAGAATTAATAACTTGTAAACTTCTCCAACCTATAGTCAATGCTTAGAAAGGGCCATCTTGTGATCCTCATCTGATCTCAATGATTAAATTCGAGACTTAATGAAAATTCTCCAATTTACAGAACTGAATTCTGACTTAAAACAAACGGTTACCATAAAATCGAAAATTCTAATAAATTTTCGGATTTCCTTCTTTTGCTTTTGGCATTTTTCCATTTTATGCTGAAAATGTTTTCTTATCTTGTAGTCTACTAAAAATATAGAGAGAAAATAATTTAATTTATTTTTCGGAACTGAAATCAGACTTAAATTCCGACTACAATCGAAAACCGAAAATAAACCGAAAATTCTAAAAATTTCATATTTCTCTCTAATAATTTAAATAGACTAAAATATCTAAACAAATTATCTTACTCAAATGATTAAATTAGACACTCATGCCAAATTAATCATAAAACTTGTCAAACAACCCGAAATAACTAATCCCTGCTAATAAAGTCCATTTCTAAAAATAAATGGACCGGAATTAATTAATGAACTGGCTCGATTACTAAATAAAATTTAACCGAGAATACTTTCGATTTAAAGTCGAACTTATAACTGAATAACTAGCTCAGAACTAGGAACGAGCATTATTAATAAAAGTAAATAGTTCAAACTCGGAACTATAATAATTACTTTTATTAATAACTGAATGGGATATCACAGGTTCGTTAGGGACAAGTAAGAAAAAATATAAAACAATTTCAAGTCTAAACGAGCGCGTAGAAGCTCCCAGGTCCCATCACGGCACGACGACCCCTAGTCCTGGGTGCATCATAACCCCACGAAGATCGTCACGATGCGATGCCCCAATCTCTAACTAGCACAACGGGTGCAACCCTATGTCGCACTTGTTGGCTACCAAAAGCTTTCGACTCGACTAGTTGTGTAACACCCCGCCTAGATTTACTAATATCAGAGTACAATTTATGCGCTTTATAATTTGTAAACACTTATTTAATTTCCGAAAACTGTTACTTAATTTTCGAAGTCATTTTATATCTCTTTATCTCTTTTAAGACATAAAGATATATCGTGGATGCACCAAAAGTAAAATTTACTCGAGAATAAGGCGCCTTGAAAATAGTGGAATTAAACATGCATAGTCTAAAGTCTCGTAATATTAATACAAGTCTGAAAATGCGGAAGCTGGCATGGTTTGAAATCATAATCAAACATACTTAGTTCAAACATGTTCGAATAAACTACTTGACATGTTCATCAAAATATCCTTTTGCTTATGACCACCACCACCTAGCTTGCTCACGCGCTACGCTGGACTCCGTCACCTGAAAGAGATAGATAGTGGGGGCGTGAGCCTAAAATCCACGTGCTCCGCAGAAACCGGCACTGAATATACATCAACCATAATAATCCATCATGAAATAAGCATATATGCAACTAACTGTTCTGATGCTAATGCAAACTACTAACATCTGTACTTGTTCGTGAAATCATGTGCACACTCCGAGTGGCATTGGCCGCCCCGGAACCTGGATGGTGGCATTGGCCTTCCAATCCAGGCAATAAGTAGTTGCAAGGACCTATTTGTCGGTCGTCGCCATTGGGCAAAATCTCGTACATACATACTTCAGACATGGTAAACGATTATAGACAATGAAATACCCAGTACGGGGTCCCTACCTGATACCTGGTGAGGGCAAATGCTGGAAAAGATGCGTAGCTAGCGGAGGCTCGACTTTCCATAAGCTACAAAATATTTACGCAAATATATGTTAAGTTTTCAACTCAACTTGAAAAACTTGGTTCTTAATATCTGATCTTACTAGGTGGTTCACTCGCTTGGTTTTAAAAACATTCAAAACTCATTTTCTAGTCTGACTTTAATGGCTAAGTTAAAGAATTTCTGTCTTGAGGCTTTCTAGAGTTCTTGGAAAATTTCTAAGCCCAGAACTAGTTTGTCTAACTTAACTGACTCGGCTCGGAACTAATTTCTCTGGCTTAAGCTTGGACTGACTCAACTCGGAAATGCTTAAATCTCGGCTCACGCTTGCATCGAAATTCTGAATTGGAAGATCTCGAACTGCCCGGCTTTCCCTGACCGGTTCGGCTGGATTAGACCGCGAGCTCGCTCGTGAACCGGCCGATCAATCGATGGCTAGGTGCGGTTTGGCTCGACCGCACGCGACAGTTCATTGGCACGCTCGGACACTGCTGACATAGCCTCACCGGCGCGCGGCTTCAAGGGATGCCACGGCCACTGGCGCAGGGGCACGCTGGACCGCAGCTGGTGGCACATAGACGCGGTGCATGCAGGGCAGGGGCGCTCGGGCACGCTACCAGGCCTGCAGGGGATGCTGGCATATAGGGCAGGGGTGCTCGGGCGCGCAGGCAGGCTGGCGGTCGCG